GGTTTGGGGGCTTAAGGTTTAGGGTTTAGGTGTTTAGGGTTTAGGGGTTTGGGGGCTTGGGGATTTGGGGTTTAGGGTTTAGGTGTTTAGGGTTTAGGGTTTAAGGGTTTAGGGGTTTAGGGTTTTTTTGCACGACCCAGGGTTTAGGGTTCCGGGGAACATCAGTGAGTCAGCAAATATTGATTTCGAAGTTCACAACTCGGCAAACCGGCATCTGCAATTCAATGTGCACCTCTTCGAGCCGCATGGGATCTGTTCAAAACAACGTAGCGGCGCGAGTAATGAAATCCAAAACTGGGCTGCCAACATCTGGGTCGGCTGAGTGGATCAACTCCACCAAAGCCTCGCCAGACATAGAAAAAACAATCAAATCCAAAACGATTCGAATGTTACTAGAAACAAACGATTCGAATGTTATGTTACTAAGAATAATAACAATGATAGTTATAACAATAGTAATGATAGTAGAAAGAATAATGATCATATGAATAACAAGAATAACAGTTATAGTAACCATATTGACCATCACTTCCGGAGGGAGGATTCTCGAGGTGCGAGGCCACGTCTGACGCGGCAGACACAGCCCTGGCAAAGTTCGGTAATGTAGCGGCCTTAATGATTTGAATAAGGTTTTGGGTTCCTTTATGGTATACAAGTATAATAAGGAACCCTAAGGAATGACATGGCAATTATCTCAGATTCTATGTTACTATCAGATCAATTTGGGCCTGCTTCGAAGACGCAGAAACAGCACATACACCTCATGAGTGGCACGCTAGTTACTTGTAACCCCACTTTCATAATTACTAAGAGTTGGCAATAGTTATGACTACATAGTCTATTATTTTCTCTTTACTAGACGATATGTTACACTGCCAAGGCCAGCACGTTTAAGAGGTCCAGCTCACCCTTCACACAGCGCAGTTCCAAAGGCTCGCCCTGCTTCTCCAGGCTCGCACGCCACTCCTCCTCAGAACGCCATGTGCGTAAAAGAAAGGGGCCTTTGATGATTAGAATAGGGTTTTGGGGCCCATCATACCATAGGGGCCTTTATGAGCAGAATAGGGTTTTGGGGCCCATTATACTATAATTTTAATAAGGAGCCCCAAACAGTACCCCATCTATAAATATAAATATAAATATAAATATATATATATATATATATTAGGCGGTGCGTAGCGAATCCGCCGTCCTTCAAGTCTTCCCTGAGTAGAGCCCCACACGAGGCCGAAAACCCTTCTCGGGGCTTCAGGTTTTGCCTAAACCCTAAACCCTAAACCCTAAAGGTTTAGGGTTTAGGGTTTAGGGTCCTCCTGCAGTGTGTCTGCCACCACCAGCGCACCATGGCGGTCGCGCGGGCGCATCCTTCCAAGCAGTGGATGTGAGCCATCCGGGGTGTCTGAAAGTACATTCTTCCGGAAGACTGAAGAATCAGCTGAAAATTGAGGTTTGCGATGTTATCAGCTCAATGCGTCAAGCTCCTATCGGCAGTAAAATGCAGTGAACACCTGAGATTTCTGTGGCTGCATGGACCCATGCCTGCTCACTGAATACAACTACATCCTACCAGAAGACATCGACACAACCTGCGACACGATCTAATACATCGAGACCTTTACCGACCGCCAAAAGGTCTCAAACAGTTCATGGCTTATAAAGCACTGCACGCATGTCTGGCAGCTAGACGCTACGGAATCCAACCCAAGTTGCCTCCACATGCACTTCAATCGATCATGCCAGATCCACCCAGCTACTAAGTAACAGTACTGCTACATACGAATAGTAACAAAAATCACTTTTCGTCATTCTTATCAAGGTCATCCTCACCGTCACTATCATTCCGGAACAACAAACACTCCACGATGCAGGCAGCGGCCTCTTGCCACCGAGGAGGCAGCCATGCGGACGCCACGCGTAGCCTAAGTGGAAATCACAAGAGTCTGGAACTGTACTGTATACTAACTCATATATACCGAGTTACTGCATACTACATGCTATGTACTATGTAACTACTATATAACATTATACTATAATATATTAAAGACGGCTCCGCACTCTGAGGTTGTGCTCGCGGGATCTCGGACATACCGGCACCACTCTCAGCATCCGTGGTTCGCCCTCCCTCCCTGCCCTGCTCACCCGTGAGACCAAGTAGTATATTACATATCATATAATATAAAAGATATTATGTTATATACAAAATATATACATATATATATATATATATATATTTGATATATATATATATATGCATATACGTATAGTATACTTTTTAGTATGTAACTGGTAACGAGTATATAGTACAAGTACTGCCTTAGATGGCTCCAACACTGATTGGCCACCAGCAACCCAGCCAGCACCCGACTTTTCTCAGCTTGATAAACAATCCCGACCTCTCGGCGGAAGGAATTTACATCAGTTGGTGACATGCTATGTCTTCTTGAGCATGCCGACCCAGCGGTTAACCCAACTGATACAGCGCCAAACAACCGAGGTCATGGGTCATGAGATAACTCCTTAGGTCCTTTGGCGTGCGATGCAAAGAGTCCACACCGGACCTCTGCAACTTTCGTGGGCTCGGAGAGGGTAGCACCCTGTCTGCTCCACAAGAGCACCGGGGGGAAGGGTTCCCGGCATGCTTTGAAAGAACTGTTAGGTCGGAATGGAACGACTTTTGGCTGAGGTATCAAGGCATGTCTGCACCCCAGTCACAGCTGCGGAGTAGACCAGATCGTTGAAAGCGGGACTGCTTCACGCGGTGGGCTTTGGATCTTCAGTTAAACTTGAGGAATGCATCGACGGCAGTTGTCGAGCCGATTTCCTCTTGGCTGAAGCGCTAGAATCCCGCTAGAACTGTTGGCTTACTCGCGGATCTCTCGGGAAGACGGGGAGTTCGTTCGACATTTACATCAGGATGGTGCTCTACGTCCAGACTCAAACTCTCACTGCGGCTTATGTAGCAGAGTGGGGTACGACCCCAAAACATCGCGAAACCTGTCTTCTCGACAGCCTCGCAAAGACATTCTGCCTGAACTACCGGCGTATGGAACCAAAGCAAAGGGGATCCTTGTGACCCAAGCTCTAGGATTGCAGCCGTTTGCAGCTCAGACGATCTTTGGCGGCAGGTTCCAGAATAGAACCTCGGCGAAGGAGGGCTGGAGCTGAGCAGGGGCAGCCTTGAGCTGTGAGCCTTTTTAGGGTGTAGGGTTTCACTTGGTTTCGGGTTGTTTTATTTGCCTCCTACAGTACTTAGCACCTTTTCAGGGTTTAGGGTTTAGGGTTTCACTTGGTTTCAACTTCTTGCAGGTAAAGCTGCAGCGATGAAAGTGTAGGCCAGCATCAACAGGTAGCCTTTCAGCCAGTGTGATCGTCCGTCGGACATGAGCACCACCACTAGGAGCACGGAGAAGAAGATCACAGCCTCTGTATCCGCTGAGATAAGGCAGCGTCGGCTACCATATACACAAGGTGGATCAGAAGGCGGACAGAGACAGCACAGAGTTCCTCTCTAAAGCTGAATGATTGAAGGGCTTACGGCCAAGGGAGGAGGGAGGAGTCAGGCAGAGCGAGAGGGAGAGAAGGTGCCAAAGGAAAATTTAAACAACATCTGTCGATTCCGTATGCAGACTTTTTGAATACAGGCATTCGTGGCTCCGTTAGCCCCTTTAGGGTCGAAGCCTAAACTCTAAACATAGGCGGGCAGTGCCTCAATGCCAGAGACCCAGCCAGGTCGCGGTGTTGATCATGCCGAAGTCCAGGGTCATAGGCACATCAAGCCTTTCTGAGGTGAGGGAGGGCTTTCGACTCTACTGAGGAGTTTCGGGGGTGTCTTACTCTTTGGGAAGTTCCGGGCTCTGCGAGATGGCCTGCACAACACACTCCGAGCATTGTGGTCAAAGACTGAAAAGGGGTGTGCTTGAAGCTACCCTCAAACGCTAAATCTCTGGCCAAAGGGCATCCAGCCCACGATGACAGCAAAGGGCACCACGAAGAGCGCGACCTGCGTCCTTGAATTGACGGCGCCATGTTCTAAGCCCAAGTCTTAGCTCAGACGCTTTGAGAATGACGCGGCCCTTTCTGCGGTCCTTCGCCCAAAACCACCGGAATCCTTAACATATCGTCAGAGGAAACCAAGACCCTTCAACACCTGCCTGAAGCCTAGAGCTTCGAAGCTCACAAAGGTCACCCATGTTGTCCGGTGGCAACGAGTCATGAAAACTCCCAACCACCACATACGATGCTAGAGTCCCTCACACCCTGGAATTGTCTGAATACTGAAATATGAGGCTGCTGGGGTGTAGAGCTTCGGGGGGGGGGGCCTCCAAGCGAGGCATGTGTCCATACGTCCGCAGCCTGAAGCCGACCACTTAACAACAAACCCCACGCTAGAGTAGGGTATAGACCAGTGTGGGGAAAACCTGGCCGCCTCTCATGGAGGATTCCCAGCTTGAAGGTTTCGACTCGCAGGCTCGCACGGGGCCCGCACGGCTTGGGGGTTTAGAACTCCAGGCTTTGAGGGTCTTGGAGTCTAGACTTTGGGGTTAGGGTTTAGGGTTTAGGGTTTAGGGTTTAGGGTAGGGTACTAGCTACGAACTCCTTACACTTAATCTTTCGCTCCGGATCCCGAACATCCACCCAATCTCTGAAGTGCCAAGGATCGAGGAGCCGACGGCAATACCAACCTTGACACCAGATGGGATCGGGGCTTGTAGGGCCTGGGTTTTCGGGCTTCAGCGTCTAGGATTTATGTTCGTCAGGTTGGTCAGGTACTTTCTTTGGGCAGAAGGTTTTTGGAACTCGCCTTCTCTAAGAATCTCAGCATCTGTCTAGGGAGGGCACAAGTCTAGTGAAGCATAAGCCAAGCACACTGCGTATAAGAGAGGATGTAAGATAGCCGAGGCAACCAAGAATAGTTCAGACCTACTGTATGCCATCCTCATTCTTTATTCCGTACATCTCGCTTTCGTGCTCAAGGTTCAGACTCTGCTTCCTTGCGGCCTCCTCTGCCCCTTTGAGCAATGCATCGGATGGACTCGGGTAGTTAGCTTGGACCCGTCCCCAACGAAAGACGTTTCACGTTGAATCTGCTAGACCCCACAAGTTGCCGAAAAGAGCACCATGAGTTTAACGCCCATTGGGCTCTATAGCAGAGAAGAGGTATTTTGTGGGCTCCGGCTGGTGTAGAACCTGCAAGTTTTAGCTAGTGCTTAGATTTTTTACTTTCGGACTGTTCTGGATCGTTTTTCACCGTTCACAAGTCGAAATCTTCACTTCATGCGGGTTGCAGCAAGGCCCGGCTTGTCGTCCATGGCAAACCGCACGGCACCGAGATGTTCGCCTTAGTCTTCGAGTCCTATGGCCGTGGGCCTAGGATCGCCCGAAGCAACTGTAGGACACAACAGTTGCCGCCACTGTCTTAGATGTAGATACTCGTAGATAGTCGAAGTCGAGTCTGCAGCCGTAGAACTAAAGCCACTTAGGATTGTGCTGATTCTGCTAAAGTTATTGGTGATGTAAATAGAGTAGAAACAGAAGTCGAAGTCGAAGCAGCTGTGGAATTAGAAAAAGTTGAAATAAAGGTAGAAGTAGATTTAGAAGTAGAAGCATAAACAAAAGGAGTGGCAGCAGTAGTAGGAGTAGTAGCAGCAGCAGTAACAGTAGTAGTAGTAGTAGTAGTAGTAGTAGTAGCAGTAGCAGTAGCAGTAGCAGTAGCAGTAGCAGTAGCAGTAGCAGTAGTAGTAGTAGTAGTAGTAGTAGCAGCGTTAGTATAGTAGTGCAATATAGTACCGGTGGCAAGTGCCAGCAGTGGCATTAACTGTGGCCGCAACCAGTTGCACGCAGCAGGCGGCCGGTAGCCAGCAATAAGGGGTATGTGGAAAGTTCTGTTCAGCAGTGATTCGTAGGAACGTAGCAAGTAGCTTCAGCAGCAAGTGGCAAATAAGTAGGACATAAGTAGCAAACAAGTAGCAAAGCCAGGATAGGATACAAATAACAACAAAGATTCTGGGCAGGTGCGAGAATGGCAGTCGTGGCCACATGGAGTTAGGCACAGCCGTCGTCGCTGATGTGACCGAATGAACAAGCTCATGAATGTAATGGTGGTAGCGAGGCAGAGTAGTGTGTGTGTGTGTGTGCCACGGCTCATCCTGCAGGACCAGGACTGGTTGTAGCAACAACCGAGTATGAGCTCCTACTCGGCATGCTTTCGGGGCAACACGCGGAAAGAACTGTACTTCGGTCTGGACAAATTCAATCTCCAGTCCCTCAAGGCTTCATGATTTAGACTCGAACTGGCTAAGCTAGAGGGCTCAGCATTTAGGAGCAGACTCTGTAAGGGAGAGTCTGCAAGGCTTGCTGTCAATGTTACGAAGCTGCATTGGTGACATTCTCGATCCATGGGCGCAATACCTCTATGTGCACTCTGAACAAACGCAATACTGCAAGCCTCACAGGCATCAAACAAATCCGGTGTTTCAGTAACCCATAGCCAAGCCAGAGGCTAAATGGGAGTTTCCGAAAATTAGGGTAATAAGGATCCTGTTATTTAGGGTACTATATTAGGGTCCCCTATTTTGGGAAACCCCCAAATTGCTGACAAGCGAAACGATTTCGTCAGCATGGCAGAGCAGGTTTAGGAGCAGCTTTAAGCACTCAGAAGCGGTTCTTCGGCTTCAACCGCCCGGGACATTTCGCCCGAAGGCCCTGAAAGGGGGGAAGGGGGGCTCTGGAGAGCCAAAACCTCAAGTTCCCACAGCTTTAAAGCTTTTTGTTGACACCTCGTTTTCCACTCGCCTTGTTGCTGTTGGGTCGAATGCCATGATGATTGGCGGAGGCTGTTTAGGGTTTAGGGTTCAGGGCCTCAAGTTCCCACAACCAAGTCACAAGCATTTCCAGCAATGGGGAGCACCTGAGCATTTTGAGGCTTCTGGGGCGTTAGGTGGCTTAGGGAGGGATCGATACGGGCGTTCTGTTAACATTAGGGGGATATTCTGTACGAGAATCCTTCGTTTCAGGTTCAAAGTTAGGCCCTGCAATTCTCTGAATATCCCGGAGACGTAATTATGAAGTTCGCGGCTGAGTAGAATTGCGACGACGACGTCAACACGCAAACCCTGCCGTAGCAAGCACAGGCTGCTCTGACACGTAGAATCTCGCAATGAACCCCCGGTGCTGACGGAGCCATGTTGAGGGCTTAGGGCCTCAGGGTTTCGACTCACACACTCGCAAAGCAGGCATGGCAATAAGTGTCGGGGCTTGCTACATGGACATGCCTAACTGTCAAGACAGCCTTAGGGCCTTGGGGTTTAGGGTTGACGGCTACACGCTTTGAGATCAGGGGCTGAAGCCGACAATGAGATGAAAGCCACGGCACAATGGTGCCGAGAAAGTCAACATTCATGGCCGCGGTGACGCCGTTGATCGAATCACACAAGTAGTCTGAAACGATATCCGTGATCACCTTAACAACCACGGCAAGATGGCAAAAAAGGAATGCATCACGAGGACTGGCTCTTCCGGGGGTGGCCTCCGACAAAGGGTTGCATGGCACCGTGCTGAAAGCGGTTTTTGCTTTGCAGTCTGCACTGGGCGTCGACCACATGCTAAACTCCCAGGAAGAAGCCCTTCGAATGTGTTGGCTCATACTACAATTGCTATAGTAGTAATTTTATCGTATGATATTAAAGTATGACCCTGTAGTCTATCTTCTAGTATAGTATTACACCGCAATCCCGAACCCCTCAACAACCTTCCCGCACGTCCAACCGGTGCTCGCTTCATCCTAGCATCCCGGGTGCTTTTAACACTGTTGGCAAAAGCCGGGGGTTCCGCCCAACGGTCGCTTATGACTTTATGGACCCTGCTGGAATCTTCCGAACTACGAGCCGGAGACTCAGAGGCAGGTCGTCCCAGGCACTCTGGACACGATTGAGCTAATCTTTGGACTTTGCGATTTTGACTTTGTGGGTTGGGGGCCTTTGGGCTTCGCCTCTCGTTTAGGGTTTGGTGGTCTGGAGTGCGGGGGGGGTGGACTGTAGACCGCACTTGTGAAATGTCATCTGTCTTCCCTGAGCTTCGCCAGGCGACAGTGACGACCACCATCATAGTCAGCGACAGCCAAATGGCTAGAGGAGGTCGCTCCTGCTTGGAGTGATTGAAGCGTGGGGCTTAACTAGGATCCGACGTTCCAGATTTCGAAACCCAGGCGTATCCATGCAACATTCATTCGGACAGGAGGGGAGGGTCGGCAAGGACCTTTCCAAACGACAGCGAGAACGTACAACAAATAGGTTCCGGGCCTTGCAAGTAGGGTGCCCGGCACCCTGTAGACCATGCTAGACTGCATAGTAAAACCGGCAAAATGCAAGAGAAAATTATGAGGATTCTACTATCAGTGACAGCGGCTGTCGAACAAACCCGCGACGATGAGGCCCAAGTCCAAACCACCGCCACCACCGCACTTTCAATGCGAGGACGACGAAAGCAAAGAAAGGACCGGCAACACTACCGGCCCGATGAACGACGACAATGCCGACGGCGACTGACAGCATGACAACCATGCGGCCATGCGCAAGATTGCTTCATAGTGTCTGTCGCTGTCAAGACTCATGGCCCCTGTTTCTACCAGTGTGGCCGTCGAAGGCCTTATCACACTGCTACGGTGGTCGATACTTATCCTGGACACTACTACAAAATACGAACAAGAATTGTAGTCCTGAAAATAATCCTGACAATAACAATCCTAATAACAATAATAATCCTACTAAAAAATCATGACAATGCTAATAATAATAATAATAATAATAATAATAATAATAACAAGAATCACAACAATAACAACAATACATCTATTGCATTGTTTTTATGTCATATAGCCCTATGAAGCTATACTATTGTAAAACGGTACTACTACTACGACGGCCCGCCTGGTCTTCCTCGGCTCCGTCGTCTTTCCTTTGCTGTTCTGCTGTTCGGGGTTGATGGTACGGTTTACGGTTTCGACCCACACACGGTTTTTTGCCTCCTACTTAGCAAGGACGAGCCCGCATTGCAGGGTAATGTGCTCACACACGGTTTAGGGTTTAGGGTCTAGGGTTTAGGTTGGGCAGCGAGTCGAAGCAGTGTCGGGACACTCCAGGCGAGGCTACTGCTTCGGCGCTCACACTCGGACAATCCAGGCGAGGCGTATG